TATCCGGGAGAGTACTCGATTAGAGGGTGAGTTTCGAGTTATGGTGGATCGGTTTACCTCCTTGAATGAGATGGGCCTCACTCTCGTTTATGACGGTACTCAATCTCTCGACACGAGTGAGGACCTTGACAATTTAGTTGTTAAAGAAATATCCTCTCTTGACGATTCAACCGTGCAATCCACGTTAGGTACGTCAATTCTTTCTTCCGGTGATAGTGTTTTGAATTTGAATTCTATTGTTGAGAGTGAGCATATGGAATCGTGTGATGATATGGTGTATGGTATGGGGGAGAATTCATTTGAGGATTCGATTGTGCTTACCGGTGTTAATAGTGCTCGGGAGGATGATTTTGAGGAGAATGATGTGGTAGTTGATGATTTTTTGGATGTTGTTGAGGAGGATTTTGAGCCTTTATATGATGTCGTTGACCCGAGTTGTGCGTTGATTGATGAGTCGACTTGTGATGTTGAGTATGACGTGGTTTCCATGTCCTTTGGGTCGTCGTTTCGTGTTATTGAGGATCGTGACCATTTGGAGGAGTTTAGTGTGCCTACGCGCGTGCTCCCGATGCTTGAGCTTCATGAGTACACGTTCGAGATAGTGCAAACGATGTCCGGGATTGATTCGACGTGCTCCACGGATATTTCTATATTTTCGGAGGTCGGGTATGGGGACTCGGTTCGTAAAGGTTCATCTCTCCTATTGGTGGTTGTTGATATCCGTGCTCGGTTTCACAAGAATTTGGCCACGAGAGTGTATATGGCCCGTCTTTGTTTCGTGTTACCGGATCGGCTACTTTTGGAGAATACAAAGGCGTGGCATGATCGACACTTTTTCTTGGATCCCGGTTGATATTTGTTGGGAACGTCGAGCTCAAGACTTTAAAATGAGCGCTTCGTGGGAGGCAACCCACGGTTATTGCATTTTCTCGTTTTTCATTTTTGTTCAAAAATAAATAGCCCCTCAAGCCACATGACACACGGTATTCTAGAGGCCTACATTTTGACCTTTCATGCTTACATGTGTCTTCGTCGAGTTTTTGGATTCCCCGTTATTATCTCTCCGAGACACATACATGTGGCCATTACTTGGAGCTGAAGGATGAGATTCTCTTATGCTTTCAAATGTAATAGTGCCCGGTTGGCTTATGGATCGATATGCTTTTATTCTCCACTCGTTTGTATGGATTTATTTTGCACTCGAGGACATTCGGATCATTTCTCGTTATTCCCACCGGACGAACACCATTAGACAAACGGTGGTGCACCACCGTGTAGAGTACGCATTTTCTTTTCCTGTTTTCTTTTTCTTTTGTTGTTTCTTGTGTCTTCTTGTTTGTCTTTTCGTCGTTTGTTTGATTTTTGTGTCTCGTTTTCGTTTTTATCGCATGAACTTACATGATTATGTGCTTTTTCCTATGATTTTTGGTCAAGCAATGAGGACATTGCTTTGTTTTAAGTGTGGGGGAGGAATTTCGTGATTATGCATGTTTAGATGATATCTTCTTCGTTTTTGGTGCTTTATTTTTTGTGTTTGTTGAGTCGTGGATCGGTTTTATCTGAGTTTTTGTGTGTTTGTGTCACCTCTCCCGCATGATGCTCAATGTTTGTTCGAGAGTCGAGATAGCTAAGTGGTGAGTCGAGATTATTGATTGGTTTCACTATTAACGTTCATGCTTTATGTACTTGATGACTTGGACGGTTTCCTTGAAGTTAAATGATGATTCGTTGACATTGGAACCCGCATGTGGATTCACGGAATTGTTTTGTCCCTTGTTTGTTCTCGTTTGATTGTCTTGAGACATGCTTTCCTTATGTTCGATTATCGTTGTAAACGTGTTATCTATGCACTTGTGGTACGTCTTGATGATTATTGATGTTCATGTTATTGTTTTCTTGATGTATTCTTGTGTGCCACTCCCTTCGAAAAAAAAATTGGAATAAAATGTGAGTTCGCGGGGAAGTACGGATTAGGCTCTTCTTATTTTCGACCCACTTTGTGGATTGGGATAATGAGCCCGGAAAACCAGTTTAGGAAACTCGGGAAAACCCCTCGAGGTTAAACCTAGATCATCTCGTCCGGAAACCTCGTTTGGAAAGAGAAGCTCACAAAAATGAGTTTGTGAGAGTTGAAAGGATTAAGCTCCTCTTGGCTCGGTTAGTCTTTTAGAAAAATTGAGCCAGTGAGCACGGAAAACCGGCCTAGGAGACTCGGGGACAAACCCCGAGGTTAAACCTAGGTAATAATCGTCCTAACGGCTCTCATTTGGAAAAAGTAGCTCATTAATTAAAAAAAAAAAAGAAAAGAAAAAGAAAAAAAGGGAGTTGGCTTATTGGTCTCGTGCTTACCATTTCATGTTTAGTAGATCATTATAGTTTTTGCACGTGTATGTAGACGAGGGAGTTTGAATCGAGCAATCATGTGTAGAATATCTTGGGATGGGTTTTTGTTTTGTATGGATTCGCTATGTGGGGACCGTGTCTCGGATTGAATTTTGATTTTAAAGATAACCGGATGATTAAGAGAGTTTCATTTCGCATGCTCGTTAATTTTGGACCATTCGATTTTTCTTTTCGAGCTACTTGTTGTTTTGTTTGCTTGAGGACAAGCAAAGAGTTAAGTGTGGGGGAGTTGTTTATTGTGTTTTTGTGCTATTTTTTTGTGTGTTTTATGTGTTTTAGTTTAGTGTTTTTAGGTTCGTTTTAGTGTCGACCGGTCCATTTTATCGTGTTTTGTGTATTTTTATTCTCGTATTGTGTTTTTGTAGTTTGATGTACTTTTCTTGTCTTTTTGGTGTTGATTAGGTCCATCATTAATATGCTTGGTGAAACGAGACATTTCCGAGATACTTTCGAGTCGTCCGAACCGTGTCCAAACCACGCGAACCATTTTCGAGTCGTTCCGAGCATACTTATTGAATGCGTGGTGATATCGATTTGCACATCTCAAGACGAGGAGAACGAGATTTGGGAAGCGTGGGTCAAAGTTTGAAGTCAATCGAATAAGTGTGCAAAAAATTAGAGCCTTAAAAGTCGAGCCATAGTCATCGGGACAAAATTCCGAGTCCAACACTCAGCCCCCCCAAAAGATTCGCGTCCTCGAAAACGTTTTCGTGACCTACGACCATTTCGCGAGCTAAGAGTAGCCTACAGCCTCCAAATTCCACGCCCAACACGTATGTAGATAGTTATATGTAATATTGCGAATGTAATTCCGCGAGTTAGCTGCAACTCGCGAGGTAGCTATAAGGACAGCCTTCAAATTTCGCGCCCGCGAACGCAATTCCGCGAGTTAGCTGCAACTCGCGAGTTAGCTACATGCACAGCCTTCAAATTTCGCGCCCGCGAATTCCTTCTCCTTGCCTGCGAGTTCCTTGTATCCCGCGAGTCCCCAACAACCCTTGCACTCGCGACTTAGCCTTTGCCTGCGAAAATCTGGCCTTATGCTCGCGAATTCGACCTAACCTGCGAGTTTTCCTCATTAAATGTGTGTGTTTTAATGTGTGTTTGTGGTGTAGCTATAAAAAGACATTATGCTTTGTATTTTTTGGAGAATTCCTCATTTTGCTAAATTTTCCTTTTTAGTTTTTTGCTCTCTTCTCTCTCTAGTTTTCTTTCTCTCTCTAAGGGCTCCAAGACCCTATTTTTAATTGTAATATTTTCTCCATCATGATTACAACTTTTTGGCTTATTTCTTCTCGTGGATGCATTAGAGACGTGGAGACTTCGCTTAAGGTTCATGATTTCGTTAGTCTTGCTTGTCTTTACTTATTGAGTTATTCTAGGGTTAAGATATGCACATCCATGAGTCGATTATGCTATCATCCTCGTAGGCTAAGGATTATGTGATATTGTTATTAATTGCGTGAGCGAGAATTGATTTAGAGATTAATTGATCACGAGTGACTTTCGCTTGGTTGCATATTCCCGAACCTATGAGTGCCTTCTTTCCATCTCGGGTCTAGGAGTACCTTGTTCTTTTTCTCTTTATTTTCCTTTTTATTGAAATTTGAGGTGTTGCTTGCGATAAAGTTTGAATCTTGCTTTAGTTTTTGCTTAAATTGCGTTTTTAGCTTAATCCGAACTCCAAATCATGCGAGTAGAATGTTTAGGATTTTTATTTTCTTTTCTTGTGTGAGTCGATCGTTGTTTGAATCCGTGTCCGAATAGCTTTCCTTTGAGAACGACCCGAGTCTGGGTAACTCGGTTACCAACTACCCAAAAATACTACAAACATAGAACCATAGCGCCGCTAACACATGAAAACAACCTGCAACTAGCGGTCAACTTGGTTCTGACCCGCGCCTTGTTCCGCCAACCCCCGACATGGATCGAGGTCCCTTTAGACCCCATTTCTAATGTCTTTTGAGTGAGCAACTGTTATATCTTTCTCGCGAATGAGGAACCGGCTTGTGGTTACCCATTACGCTTTTGTACGCCGTAGACCGGTCTTGAACTCAGTTTTGATCTATATATATTTACATTTAATGATTAAAAAAAAAAGTAAAAGAGGCCTTAGGATTCACTATCCTTGTAAAAAAAATATCCTAACAAATAAGCAGTTCAACAAAAGAATCTAAATGCAAATCAACAAAGAAAGAGAGAGAGAGAGAACAAAAGAATCTGATCAGTTGGCCTATCCATTAGATTCATCCTTTGTCCAAATGATACACTAAAGTTGTATCACAAATTCCCTTAAAAGGGGAATAACAAAAAACCTTGAGCTTATAGGGCATTTACAATATTCCCAACCAACTGATATAATCATATAAACCAAACACACACACACACACACACACACTCACACAAAAACACAGTTTCTTATAATGTGCTAACTATTTTTTTCTTTTTTTTCTTTTTTTTTTTTTTTATGTTACAGATATAAACATCCTTAGGAAACAAAAAGAATGACTCGAGTCGAGGCTTCTTGAAAAATTTGTGTATATTTTTCTTTTTTTTTCCCCCTAACTTCTTGTGTATCTTTCTTGTCCTACTGCTAGTTACACGGACGAACGCCATATCCTTCCTTCGAACGAAATAATGATAATCGAGACATCATCATGGTACCGTCTCCGGTCGCCTTGTGGGATGTCGAGCAGTTCGTGAAAATCCATACCTACAAAATCGTACCAAAAGTTCGGTTATTAGATTTTACCATTTGAACTCGCATTTTTACACGTAAAATCAAAGAGAAACCGAGTTTTTCGATAATTAGACTGAATCTTAACAGTATGTTTTTATCTTTTTGTCGGGTAGAATTTCATACCAGCTTTCTTAGCAGCACGAAATAGAACTTCTTCAACGAGATGCTGAGCTGGATCACCCTCGGGGAATGTTGATATGAAAGTTTCGACTTCCGAGACAGCTTCCTCGTTCGTGAAGTACTGGTAAAGGCCATCGGAGGACAATATCAAGAATTTGTCCTTTGGGTCTAATTTGTGGTGGCAAAGAGATGGCGAACAAGTTATGTAAGGCAAATTCCCGATATAATCGATTCTGAACATCTCCAGAAGCGCATTGTTCCATTTGGGCTGGAAAAAGGGAAAAAAATATATATAAATTATTAGATAAAGAAGACTAATAAACAGTTTTAGTCATCCAATTGTCGAAAAGTTGGAAATTTACTCAGAAAAGATCGAACCAGCTAACGCGGAAACTTATTTTTCATCACATAAATCAAGGACTATTATAGAATGTTAATGCAACCAACATCATTCAGTTTTAATTATAGAAAAAGAAAATGAAGAGGGAAAAGTGAAGTAAAAATATACCTGTTTGAGATAGCCGGCTCCAAACGCCCGGGTGACTTTCAGTGAACCTTTAACCCTATCATTGACAACTGCACAAGGATCGTCTAAATGCGCATTTCTAATCCTTCTTACTTCCTGAAAAACAAACAAAACATCACGAAAATTTATTTAGCTCAAATAGCCATTAAACAGAGGACCTATTATAAAGAGAAAACTCAATCCAACTGTAAAGAAGAAAAACTATAAAGAAAAAAAAAAAATCACCTCCTTGACCGATGTGCTATGATCCATCGTAAGCTGCCGAGCACTCAAATGATGTACGTTGTCATACTCATAACCGTACAAAGATTCTTCACAATCTTTCCCCAGTTTCCCACAATGAGATTCATTCTCAGCCTTTTTCCGAGCCAAAACCGCTCGACTATCCCCAACGTTCATCAAGTAAACATCGTCGTCCTTCATTACCATTGCAAGCACGCAAGAACCCATCAAAGCTAACTCAGGATTCTCCATTAACATCATATCAGCTATCTCCAAGTACGAAGCCTCGGTTTTCCTCAAAGCCTCGGATAACGCCTTCAAAACTCCCAAGTGATTCACGGTCGCAATCCCATCCGACCCCAAATTGCTCAATTTCTCCCTTAATTTCCTATCGAGCTCGACTCTCTCCTTGCTATCCAAACTCCTCGACACTAACAACGAACTATCAACCGTGTTCTCACAAGATTCAACCTTGTCGCACCATAAGAGCCCTTTAAGCTCCTTATGAACATTAGAATATAAATTACTCGAGAGAAAGTCGGTGGCATCGGGACCATTAAACCCGTCGTAAATCCCGACAAAAACCCACCCGTGTTCTTCCGAGATCACGATGTGGACTCTATCTTCGCCGGCTTTCCCCTGTGCCCACTGCACGTTTTGGCTCCCGAACGATACATTCCCAAATTCATCATTTTCATCAATCAAGCTCATGTTATCACTACTCAAATTATTGCTTGTTGTTGTGCTACTATTGCCACTACCATTGCTCGAACTCAAAACGACATTATTGTTATTATTACCGTTTTCGTTGTTATTATCGTTGTTTTTCGACTCCTTGGTGAAATCCCAGAAAGATTTAGACATCAATTTTTTCAGACTTTTAACCGTGGGCCATTTTCTTGATTTGGGCTTGTACCTGTGTAGCTGAACGGGGTGATGATTATCGAGCGGGCCAGAGATGAAGCTACGCTCGATCGGGCCGGACATGAAGCCACGCTCGATCGGGCCGGATCCGGGGCAGGGGTTTCTTGTAATCGGGCCAGACATCACCGCCGTGTAGGCCGAGCTCCGGGGGATGGGCTGGAGGGGGATCGAGGAGAAGAAATCGGAGCTCTCGAAGGCGGCGGCCTTGTCAGCGGCCGTGCAGGCGAGGGGGGCGGTGGTGGAGAGGGCAGTGGAGGCGTTGGCGGAGATGGCGGCTCCGGATATTGTGCGGAACGGCGTCATCTGTGATTGGATTCCGGCGGCGGCGGGTGTCGATTCGGCCGGGGCCTGGTGCGGGTCCGGCGGGATGTAGCAGAACGAGTGGCCGAAGCCCTCGTCCGGGGGGTCCAACGGAAGCTGGCCCACGTCGTTAATCCGCCGGGAAATCGCGCCGGAGTCGCCGGCGCAGCAGAAGCTCAATTTTCCGACCCTGTTTCCCATTTTTCCCTTATGCCCTTTTTCTTCTTTTAACCCCCAAAAATGACAAATTTATGATCTTTTTGGGAAAATCTTCAATCTTTTTTGGTTCTGATTTTTGTTCTGCAGAAAGAGACTGTAACAAGGATTGAATTTCAAAAGGGCTAAAGATTCAATTTTTTTTTAGACAGAGAGAAATGATGTGAAGTTAATGTGTGGAGAGAGAGAGAGAGAGAGTGGCAGAAGTTGACTTTTGGGGAGGCAGATAATTAATTGATTTTCTTTTCGTATTTGTTACATATTCGATGCTTTTATGAAGGTCTCTTTTGGGTGGGCTATGGGCGTTGACTCTGAAGTTTAATGAAAAACTTTTATGTGTGAGTATATTTGTATGTATATGCTCTAATTTATTTTAAATGCAAATAGCTTCAATATCCCATATTTAACATTTGGGATTACACTAAACTTGTGTTTGCTAAGAGCACTCACAATGCTTTGGGTTTCTTAGAAAAAAGTTACATGTCATGTAAGAAATAGACCTAGTCTATAAAAAAGTGTTTTCCAATGTAATTAAAAGTGGACCTAGTCTAGCTTATGTGGCAATAAAAAAATGAGACCTAGTCCACACTTGGGTCTATTTTAGACCCAAGTACAAACCCAAGCACTCATCATTTATTCCTCATTTAATTTTTCTTTTAATAAATGAAATATACTAGAGCATTTTTATTGGTTGTCATGTATTCTAGACCTAGTACTTTTTGGTTTTGCATTGGATAGATTTTGGTTTTTTTAGTTTAGGTTTGTCCATGTCATTATGGACTTAAGTCTATTTATTTGCCACATATGCAAAAAGAGACCCAAAACATTGTGGATGCTCTAAGTGTCACATATTGGTTTATAACTTACTCCTTTTGTTTCTCCACAACTCTAATTCAAATTTAAAACACTTAAAATTACAATTTTATAAGTGTAGATAGTTTACATTATATATATAATTGGCAAGCATAAAATATTTTAATTTTCTTCTTATATCTGTTACAGCTTGCACGCTGAGGAATATTATGGATAAAATCGAAATAGTAAACAAGATATGTCCAACGACAATTAATTAGCAAGAAGACTCACAACCTACAACGACATGTGTTTGAAACAAATGGAGTATTTAATTATTTTATAAGTTTTTTGTATTCAGACAAGTTTGATTTGATAGTACAAGCTTTTATAAGATGTTTATCTCACAACTTCATTAGGATAACTTTTTTAAAATGTCTGAGTTTATCTTATAAACTTTCTTGGTAACTTACAAAAATGTTTAACTTAATAAAATACTTTTGTCAAAAACTTACATTATATCATTCAATTGATTTTTCAGTTAACAATTATAGACATGAAATCACTAATAAACTATCAGTTATTAGATAGTTCTCAGTTGAGTTTCCCAAACATAATGTTAGCAATAGTTGATTGAATTGTTAATCGGTTGGATTAGTTGATATGCATAATATTGATAAACAATTAGAAGTTGGATATGTAAAAAAAATTAATTTTATAATCATTTATTTAAAACAAACAAATACAAATACAACTTCACACAATAAGAATAAGCCAAGCAACCATCTAACTGAATTTAGAGAGAGAGACAACATTGCGGCGAACGTCTAGAGACTATTCTAACTACCCACAACTCACCCACAAGATAACTAAAAAGACCACACAAATCTCACAAGAGATAATTCAGCTCCTACCAGAATAACAACAAAAACTGGCAAAACACCACAACACGACACCACACAAACAAACAACACCAACAAAACAACACAAAACACCAAATAAACAGAAAACACCCTCCTCTCCACATGTGAGACCATCCGCAACACTCCACGGTCTGATACCCAGAGACAACCGCCCACTTGGATAGGACTTTGGCTCGAGTACTGGTCCAAAAACACCAGTGACACCACGGCTAGCTAGAACCGCACCAGACGACCAAAATCTTCTCCTAGGCGGACCGCCCTAGAGCTGAGACCGGAAACCGATTGACGACCCCCCCCCCC